CAATTCACTTACAAATACCCTATTATTTTCTGGACTATAAAGAAAAAGGAAGTATTTTCAGGCCTACAAAATACAAAAGACAGAGCCGTGACATTTTAAAGTCACAACTTTTATTTTGTTAGTTTATTAAGAATCATGTCTTCATGAACCAAAACATCCACTTGCACAGTGAAGAATTTATTAAATCAAGGTGCTTGTTTACATAATTCAGAATATCTGCATATTTGGAAACAGGCAATTTTCTGGTTTAAAAAAAATTATTGATGGCTGGCATCCTATAGATCCAAAAGAACTAATTCACATTACCGTACTATGGGATGTACTGTCTAGAAAACTGAAATGTTTTCGCAGGTATTTATTTTGCACCAAAGTATAATTCAATTAATCACCTCCTAAGAAATCATTGGAACTGTACTATTTTGATGTTCTCTTCAGCAGAATTTTTTTTTTTTAGGATTGGAAGAATATTAATAGCTCACATTTGTTGAGCACCTGCCATGTACCAAGTGGTGTTTCAAGTGTTTTATGTGTTAACTCAGTTAATTATGACAGCAAGTCCACCAGGTGGGTACTATTAATATCTCCATTTTGAGGTTCAGGAAACAGGCACAGTGAGTTAGGTATCCTGCCCAAGGTCACACGGCTAGTAAGGAGCAGAGGTTGGATTTGCACCGAGGCAGAGCAGCCTCAGAGAATGAGCACTGAACACACTATCTTGGTAGAAAACTAGAGGAGTATGTTCTTTGAGTTTATTACGATTGTCAATAGCTTTCAGGACATTTTTAATATACCTGCTTGTTTGTTTATTCTCATATCCAGATTTGAAGATTTACATTGGTTTACCATATCTTTTGATCTGTATCTCCTAATGCAATTTGTATTTTTTAGTTGAGCACAAAGGCTATTTTTTGCAGTTTCCAAAGTAGACAGATTAAGTGTTTATTCGTGGTGAGGTTATGGAAATGTTCAGACTAGAGAATACGGGTTTTTATGTGATGTTGACTTATGTGCCTTTGAGCATTTCAAAAGAACAGTGTTAATACTGAGCTGTAGAGTTTTCCAAGTCTGCAGTGAGTGTCCACGAAATACATACTGCTCTCATAAAACATCATAACTAAAAGTAAAGACGTTGTCTATTTTAGAGAAACACAAGTCTTCGTTTCTCTTGTTGATGATGGTACCTTGAGTTTCTAATCTAATTCTGATTGAAGGGTCAGCTCAGCATCCCAAGCTGGAGCTCCTAGGGCAGATCTCCGATGTTCCATACTCAAAATGTAACTTGTGTTGGACCAACACACCCACTTTTATGTCTTGATAAATAATTTATTAAGAAAAAAGTGTTAACTCCAAGTAAGAGCATTTAAAGTAGTGCAAACCTAATGTGATCCCATCTAAATTAAATCAAACAAGAAGGCTGTTTTGCACGTAAATTATGTGTGAAAACTTTAGCCAATACATATAATTTCATCCGTAATCAGTGAGTAGAAGCCAATGTCTGAGACTTTGTAGTCATCTTACCAGAAGTCATCCATGTTTCCCTCTTTATGGGAGAGAGCACAATGGCAGGCAGAAAAAGAAGTGAAACTAGATTGCTCTATGCTATTCTATTCCATTCTTTTATTGTTTTTACTTGTAGTAATATACAAATATATATATGAATAATATATATACATTAAAAATAAAAATAACTCTAATTTGTAGTCTGCTTTACTATCTTACTGATCCTTGAAACATCTTGGTCACGCACACACACACATTTTATTTTTTTAAAAAAAGAAGTCTGAAGCTCAGAGATGCTGCATAACTTCTATTAAGAATCAGTTTTTCAATTCAGCCCACTGCTTTTTCTACTCTGCTGCTGCACATCCTGACTTTTCAAGCCCGTCCACATTCCTACCCACCTCTGTTTTGAACATTGTCTCTCTCAGTAGCTGGCGGATGTCTTGAAACAGAGACCTGCTTATTCCATTTCTACAGACCTCATGGCCTTCAGGAGAGTTCCTGATACATCAGGTCCACAATAGCTTATCTATAGCCCTTAAGGCAAAACATTTATACCATGTACTGTATTATGTAACAAAATCTCTAAAATCGGAGGCAGTCCTCCTTAATGGAATCTATTAATATTTTTACAGCAAAATATATAAATACTGCTACTTTACTAATTTTTCAAAAATAATTCACATGTGAATTGCTATTTTTTTTCTCTCTCTCCCTCTCCCACTTCCTTTCTTTCTTTTTAAAATATTTGCTCAGTACCCCTGCTCTAGCACTCTATATGCAAGTTTCTGAAAGACTTTTAATTAAATGGACTTAAGGAAGACAAAGTAATCATAGACCTTCTACAATGGTGTTCACTATTGTGACATCTTGGCCCTCATTCTGAGTTGAATCTCTATTCTGCTGTAATATGGCAGATTTTCAAATGAATCGTTTTATGAAAGAAATGAAGTGAAAATATATGGGTTTATTAAAATAATGACTATCAGCACTTCTTATGTGATATCGTTCCTTTCTCTTTATAATGGTCATTTATTCACTTATCTCATCGGGCAGTTCTTTAAGGAAGAGTTTAGGTCTATCCTTCAGTGTACCCATCAATGTGACTTGGAACTAAGAGGCATGCAATAAATACTTACTGAATTAAATAAACAAATGAAATAAAAACTACTGAAATATGAGGGAATTTATGACATACCAAGTGTAAGGTAAAATTTCTATTTTGCCACAAAATGCCTAAGAAGTGAGAAGGATGGGATTTTGTTACTCTCAACTGCTACCTGCCAATAGCTACTTAAGAAAACAGTTTCTATTCCATGAAAACTGTCCCCAAAGCCTGTGATTTCTCAGGCAGAGAGAACAGGCCGATATTCTCTGTAAAACTGAGTGCAGCCATTAGTTGTTGAAAGTCAAAATATTTTCCAAAAATATTTTTACAGTCTGGATATTTATTATTACTGGTTGAATATTCAGCCTGATTATTCATAAACAAAAACATGATAGGCTAAGATAAAGAAGAATATAGTTGCTTTTTGTTATTCGGCAAATAAAATGAACATTTTATACACAATGAATACAATATTTATTTTTCAATATGGATTTCTGATGAAAGACTGCCCAAGGAGAGCATATTCACTAGAAAAAAGTAAAAGAAGTTGGGTTTTTATCTTTCCTATGAAATTTGAAGCTAGGTTGTCCTTAGTGGCTCCGACTCCCAAACAACTTGCATGGTTGGCAATACTTTTCTTCTCTAGAAACTTTGAAAAAGCAGAAAAAGTTGGCAAAAATCATTGAATCATACAATAATATTGATTATATATGTGCTCCGTATTGTCATGTTGTTTTTTCTATAATGAGAAAGCAAAGAGAACATAATTATCACATCTTAGAATAATTTGGTCTTCTATGTTAGTTGTAAATGTGGTTAAAGAAATTTGAACAAAAAATAAAGGAGTTTTCTATACTATCTCAGCCAGCAGTTCCTGGACTGCTTGCTTTCTATAAAATTACGCTGCATTCATACCGTCTTGCAATCGATTGCATGGCTTGTTGGAGATAAAGAAGTTGATAAGTAGATAAAGTTTGTCTTTGTTGTCTTCCTCCTTGCTTTTCCTTTCTGTCACCTCCATATGGAACCTTTATTTTTTCTTTTTTGTTATTGGTGCTCACATTGCTGAGTGTTCAGAAAATCAATTTATCTTAATAAAAGGAAATGGTTTCACCTTTGGCCAAAAACCCCAGTGGACTTAGTAGCGCCTGCCTCATCCCTGACGTCCTCTCCTGAATCGTAACACACTACTCCTTCATTTCATTCAATACATTTCAATCAGCTTTTGTCAGTACCTACTCTAATACTGTCACTATATTCACCCAAAGAATTATATAAGCAATATTTTTAAGACATGTCCCCTGTCTTGCCAGACTTTAAATCTAATGCAGAGGCAGAGCATACAATCATGAAGAAGGTGACTGACTGCAAATTTGTACATCAAATAATGAGGCGGCATGCAATGGAAGAGTTGAAAAACCATACATTTGGCCTAGGGAATACTGAATTCGAGCTGTAGATCTGTGACATGTAGTTTTTTCATTATAAAAATTATGTACATTTTGTATAATGCAGTGGCTATGATCTTGGCTTGGGAATCAGACCTCATTCAAATCCAGTCTCTACCAATTACCCTCTGTGTGACCTTGGGCAAACTGTATAATTTCTCTAAGCATCACTTTCCTTCTGTGCAATAAAGGTTGTTGTGAGGGGTAAATAAGATAAGCATTGGGTATGATGCTTGGCACAATATTTTTAAAATATAATTGGGCAAATAATGAACTCTCAGTTTCTGCATACATAAAATGGGAATAACATTAACACATTATGCATATGGCTGCTGTGACTATCAAAGAGAATGGAAAGGGTGTACAAGTTTGTTGAGGACATTCTGTGTGTAAGTATATAGATGCTTAACTAAATAAAAAGAGTTAGAAAATGAGAACAAAATGAAAACATTTTAAAGTACTGGAAATTGAAAACATCAAGAGAGAAATGAGAACGAGCTATTAACTGACATTATCCCCATTTTTATGGAGATGGGAACCGACACTTACAAAGGGTAAGTGATTTGCTCAAGTTTGCTAATAAGCAGATCGATCTGGAGATTGTCTCTTAACCATTTCACAGTGGTGAGAAAACCGAGGTGTGGCAGCATTAAGGAAGTTGCTGAGCCAAGGTTTAAGCCCACATCTCCATCACCTTAAGGTCTATGACTTTTTCACTTAGCACACGGCCTCTTCAAAAGGATGGGATCAGGAAACTCCATTCCCACTAGAGTGGTGGGGACACACTGGCTGGGTAGTTTTAATGAATGGGTCAGGGTCTCACAGGGAGAGAGGTAGAATCAGGGTTTGAATTGAGGTCTGCCTGAGCCAGGAGTTCACGCTCATCATACAGCATCCCATGGACTCATCCACTTTGTGACAGTCCCCTCCCAGGTGACACTTACTCTTCTTGGCTTCCTCCAGCTTGTCCTTGGCCCTTTTTTCTGCCTGAAGGAGCTGGTTGATCCCCTGGGACTGGCTGGTCATGGCAGCCTGCTCCAAGTCAAGTGGCTTCTGTGAAATCTGGGAAGTGACAGGTCCATTTATCCTTTTAGAAATCACCACATAACTGAGATTGTTGTGTCAACAACACACAGCTGCTTATTCCAAACTGGCCTGACTGGGCCCCATAGCTGGGCCCCAAGGGGAGCTCAAGGTGGAATCCAGAAAAACAAGTCAAGTCAGTACGAGGAAGTTGAGAACTTACCATTTCTGCCAACTTCAGCTCTTCTGTATGAAATAAGAAGACTTTAATGGGTCTACTTGTAAAAAAATGGGTAAGATACCTTTTAAAATGTTAGTTTCCCTCATTTTCCAAGAAATATTCACTAATTTACTGATTTTTTTTTTTTTTTTTTAAGTTACAAGATCTTACTTTATTCTTCATACAATACTAGTTTCAGGTCTTTATTTGTTTCTAGTGATTCAATTATTTGCCTATTTGGGGCAAATTTATTAACCCTTTACTAGGAAGAAGGTTTTCTGTCTTTGTGCAAAGATGATGAGCAAGGGATGTATTCTTTTCCTGTCCTGGGCCTCAGGTGACAGGCATGAAAAGATTTCTTTTGGGCATTGTGTTGTTCTTTAGCAATGCTGCATGAAGTTCCAGGGAGA